TGTGCGACACAATATTAGGAAGGCATCCCTAATGTTTTGTACGCTCGGTGTACAGTATATGACGCATTTCATGTTTTTCCTCTGTTCTCATATTTGATCATGAGCAAAAATATAAACATACTGTATAGGCCACAGTATATAATAATTTAAAGGCTGAGTTTTATGAGTTTATTGTTGTGTCAATTTACTTGTTTACTCATTCTTACAAGTGAGGAGAGTTACTGTAGTGTGAGACTAATCCCTCATTTGATTTACCAGCCTAAAGATCTTTCTGTGTGAAATGGGTTAGGGCTGGGATCTCCAATCCTCATCTTGGAAGGCTGGTATGTGCTCAAGATGATTTTATATCTATATTTTGTGTTCTCATTTTTCCCCCTTTGAAACAGATAATCACACACCAGAATACACACAGCCTTAAATCTGGTGCTGCTGGTGAGGAAATGAACACTGACAGAAAGGGTAAGACCCCTCAAAACTATGGAGTAGCGAGTGCTTTAGACAAAATTTTGACAATTAAATAATCCAGAAAATCCAGATAATTCAGAAAAAATATACACAAAAATGATGCACAATGAGGATTTACAGATTATGTATTAAACGTTATCACATTCAATAATCTTATTCTGTCTGTGGTGTGACTAACTGTTCCCACTCTCACACTGTAGCAAAGTATCTTCATCTTTTATCTAAGGCAGATATGTTTAAACCATACTTTCAATAATATTAACACATATATTTGTTGCACAAAATGACCCCCCGCCCCTTCCCTCCAGAGAACAGAAGAAGCAATTTCTGTCCTGAGTGGCTCCCCTTTAGCAAGATGGCAAGATGAAAAACTAGTAATATTTATATTTTCTGCATCTACCAAAAATGTAGAGTAATTTAAGTGTTCATGCATTGGCCCTTTTAAGTTGCTGCAATATGTGCAACTTTGGTATTCCGGATGCCTAATTTTAAAATGTCATTAATTATACATGCATCAAGAAATAACCAGATTAATTATGCCACTATTGTTCAATGAGATAGATTGCTAGCACCATATTTCACTACTTTTAAAATATAAACATTAAATATTATATGCACTATAGTGATTATAAACCTCACAGACATTTTATTTAATGCTATACATCTAACACCTGTTGGCAAAAGGTTGCAAAATTTTGATAAAACAAAGTCCACTGCAAATGGATTGGGATTAAGGGAAATAAAGATGAAGAGAATTCCTGTAACATCATTTAAAATTTTAATAATTATTTCTAAAACTGTGAGACACCAAAATAGAGCTAGCAAAATTACAACCTTTAGTCAAAAGCAGGAAAGACTCATTCAATATTGTGAATGAACCTAGCAGAACCTGAGATATATAGTCCAGAGAATGTACAGTACCTAGAAGAATAAGAAAACTGCAAATCTCAACTGCAATTTAATGAGCACTTCTTAAACTACTAGTTTTGCTAAGAAAACTTTATATCTGGAAGAGACATAATAACTGTGACATATTCATAATTGTATACTGTAAGTACTGAGGATTGCTGTAACACTTAAACTATGAGATTTCTAGATTAGTGCTATTCTTTCCTTGTACCTAAAAAATCAGCAGCTATATCTGTACTTTAGATTTTCTAATACTCATAAGGTATCCTGTGTATGTATTTAAATTGTTTTGGCGTGGTCATGAGAACAGCACATATTTGATTTTCTTTCTTTTTTTTGTTGTTTCACAGGCCACAACGATAAAACTGTTACAGATCAGAAGAATGGCAAAAGTGATGGTGATGTCTCAGGAAATGACCCTAGTAAAACAGCATCAAACAAATCATCAGCCTGTAATATTTTATAAGGACATTAACTTCATGTCATAAACTTTCGCTGGTAAATGGATGCTCTTCCCAGGGAAAAAGATCTGTTCCCTTATAACTATTTGATATATACAGTATTACACAAGTAATTACACAAATTCTTAATAGTCATTGTATTATATTTACCATAGATGTACCAAAATAACTTGCCTATGAATATTAAAAACGTTATTTGTATGGCATATTTAGTTTTCCATCCTAAAATTCTGTTTATAAATTTAGGAATTCATTTTCAATCCAAATTTCTAAATGGATTTTATTTTATTGGATACAAGGCAAACATGACATAAATAAACACATTTTTAATTATGCTAAATGATC